CGGAAAGCAACGCGCCTGCGCACACAGAAATCTTTCGGTCTCGGAGCAACGGCGTGGCTTCCTGGCCAATCAGCAGCTGCGGCGTTTCCTCGCCCCGCCTCCACGCCACTCGTACGCGTCTGGTCTCCATGACAACTCCTGAGCGTCTCTCCCGGTCCCACAAACGGCGAACCCAACCTCCAAGAGCATCTGCGCCAAGAGACGAAAAGAGCAGGAGGAAGGGGGCTAATTTCTGTCCTTATCATCTTAAGCAGGTAGAGCTGTCGTAAGAGGAAAAGGTCTTCACGGCCCCACCTGATCGATGAACAAGAACAGGAGAAAGGCCGGTTCCAGAAGCAGGAACAAGAGGCCGGTGAGCTACGTGAATGTGAGCTTCCCTGAAAGAGGAAGCCAGAGGACACGTTCTAAAACGTGAAGGATAAGGGCGCCGGGCTGGCCCTGTCGGAAGAGCGAGGGGCTCTTGATGTCCTCGTGGGGTTGAGCCCCACGTTGGGTGGGAGATCTCAAAAATAAATAATCGGCCTTGAGAAATAAAAGTTAAAAAAATTGTTTTTAAAGTTAAAAATGAAAGTGAGAAATAACCACCGGCAACTAAGGATACAAAGAAGAAATATCCTCCCCAAATGGCAGAGAAAATGGACAACCTTGTAGCCAACATACCGAAGAGCTTTGCGCCAGGGGCAAGGCGAGGGCGCGCTCCAGGAGGGAGGGAACCAAGCCCTCAAAGGACAGGGCCTGCGACTGCCCTCTCCTCGGACCAGCTGGCAAGGAAGGACCCCACCCCGCCCCCCGCCAACTCATCTTTGATTTACAAGCCTTCTCCTCTGCTGGAGACCTTTCCTCTCATGGTAAACGGAACAATGACATCACTGGACTAGGAATAATGTTGAAGTGTCCCAGGAATCCTATGCCGCACTCTTAAAACGGCAAGAAATAAAAGGAAACGAATCTCATGGATTTTCTCTTTCTTCCAATTTCCTCAAACTCTGACCTCTTGATTTTACTCCACAAAGAAACCACTGAATCCCTTCTCGTGTGCGCTTATTACCGTGTCAGTCATCAAGTACAAAGGAGGGGGAGGGCAGGATTGAGAAAGCCCTTTTCAGGAGGGACTATCGGCCCCACTCTCTGCACTTAAGAGGCCCCGGGCCTTGTCACAGTTAAGAATCTTTTTTTTCTTTTAAGTATCTTTATTTGTTTGACAGAGAGAGAGATCACAATTAGGCAGAGAGGCAGGCAGAGGGGGGGGAAAGCAGGTTCCCCTCTGGGCAGGGAGCCGGACGTAGGGCTCGATCCCAGGACCCTGAGATCATGACCTGAGCTGAAGGCAGAGGCTCAACCCACTGAGCCACCCTGGCACCCTCACAGTTATGAATCTCAAGGACCACATAAAAGCTGTCAAAAACACTGGCCTCTCTCAAAAGGGACTGGTAAGTAAAGTTGGGCTCTTCGGTCCAAGGAAAACCACTCTGACTTTCCTATATGCTATTTAATACCTTATTACATTTATAGCAGTTGCCTAAGTAGGCACCATCATCTGGATTATGTTAGAGGAGGCATCCCTTAATCCAGAACTCTTTCCTTTGGAGCCTACACAGGAACAAATTCCAGACGATGCTGCCCATCCAACAAGGCTCCTTTTGGATGGTGTCTTAATGTAAAGAGTGCTCTAACTCCGAGCTCTAAGTCAGTACAGAAGCGTCTACTCTTGGCATATTGTCCTCCAGAAGGCTCCCGGATTGTACAATGGGGAGAAAAGCCAAGTTCTGACCTCCGTAATCCCATCAGTCCCTGATGCTTCTAGCATCTCTAACAAGTGGTTCCATCGCGCCCTGGTGACTGGCCCGCTCCGTAGCCTTCCTCAATCCTTATCTCAGGGCCACACGTACATATACACATGTGCAGAGAGGCAGTAGAGTAAAAACGTTAAGAACAAGGACTCTTGAGCCGGACTCCCCGAGTTTAAATCTCAGCCCCACACTGTTTCCAGGTCAGCCTGGGACTTTGCCTTTCTGAGTCCTAGAGGCCTCCTCTACAAAACAGGGATATTTAAGGGCATTGTTGGAAGAAATGAATGAGTTGATGCATACAAAGGTGCCTGAACAGTGTCTAGCATGGAATAAACCTTTACTACAAGGATTAGCTATTACTGTCATGGAAATCCTCTGAAAGGGGTCTGGGAAGAACTAAAACACAAAGAAAAAACAAATTATACACTGAATTCTGCCTTACTTTATGCTTATAAAAGGAAAGGAATGGAATACCAATGCCTACCTCTTGAGTTGCATTTCGAGGATAAAGGGAAAAGCCAGGTAGCTTTCCTTTCTTACATTTACTAAAGAAGAGATTTAAATGAGGTCTGCCTTACAAACTGAGGCAATGCTATGGATACCTAAGGCTGGGTTTATTTGGGGAAATGGATTTTTTTTTTTTTTTTTACCTACATGAAATAGAAGTATTTCCCAGTTGTCCATGATGCTGTATCATAGCAACCTTCCTACCAGGATGAATCAGCATATCTTCTGATATAATCAACTCTGGCCAATTGAGCAGAAACATTCACGGAGAGGAATAAAGTAATACACAAATGTAAATGTATTGGCTGTGCCTCTCAATTCTTTGGAGAAACAAAATCACTTTCAGTGGTGAGCCTCTAAGGTGGAAATAGAGTATTATCAATATTGTCCTTATAAATCTCTGTGTTGCTCATAAAATGCAGTTACATAGCTTTGTGTGTAACTCTGATAACGCAGGCTATTATGTATTCATACATATAAATGTACAAGTAAACAACAGAATGCTATATCTCTATGTAAAATATAATTTTACAGTATTTCTAATTTCACTATTTATCTGTTGGGCTTTTTTTGGAGGTGGGTGTCCTGATGGATATGGTTGAATTCTTATTAAGTAAAATGTAAGTTTGATATGTTTTTCCCCAAGATGGTTATCTCAAGCCACTATATTTTGTATGCATCACTTTGGCAAAACATACCCAGAAATCATCTAATGTATGATGCATATCAAAGGAACTACAGGGACAACTTTTCTTTTCTTTTTTTTTTTTTTAAGATTTTATTTATTTGACAGACAGAGATCACAAGCAGGCAGAGAGAGAGAGAGAGAGAGGAGGAAGCAGGCTTCTGGCTGAGCAGAGAGTCCGATGCGGGGCTCGATCCCAGGACCCTGGGATCATGACCTGAGCCAAAGGCAGAGGCCCCAACCCACTGAGCCACCCAGGCGCCCCCAGGGATAACTTTTCATTGAACAATTCCTCTTATATGAATTCTTAAAACTGTGTATAAGTATTATTTTGTTTAAAGTCAACAATAAAAGACCTAACAAGATAGTTACTTTTCTCATGGGGAAAACAGTTAAAGCTGGAGATAAAACCAGATATTAAGATGGAACTAAGAATGTTTTATAGGCATGTAAAACATTTTTATATGAGATTTTTATATATTTTATATGAGATCCCTGAGGGATCTCACGAGTGGCAAAGTTTTCAGAGGAGGACATTATTTGCAATTGTGGTAATCAAGGAGAAGGTGACACTTTAAGTTGGGTCCTAAAGGAGACTGACTTGCAAACTGAAAACAGTGATAATGTGACAACTACCCTCTTGATTAAAAAAGACAAAAAAATAAACAAACAAACAGAAAAGGATTAATGCCCCCTCAGAAAAGGCAGAAAGCCCTGCTTTAATCAACAAAGTTCTCTTCCTGCAATCCTCAAATCAAGCCTGGGCTCACCATACAATGAGCTCATCACAATATCGAAAACTATCCAAGCTTCTTGGAGGAAAACTATCCTTCTTGGAGGAATTTGAGATGTAACATGTATGTTAATCTTCCCTCCACTCAACACAACTAGCAGTTTTAACCACATAAATTAGTTTTAACCATATATATTCATTCTAAATCAGGTTATCATAGATGAGGCCTCTGAAGGAAGGAAGGTCAAATGTTTCTCCACAACCCAAACTAACTGGCTCCAGGAAAGAAAGGTTTTTTTTTGTTTTTAAATTTTTTTTTTAATTTTAATTTTTTAAAAAAGATTTTATTTATTTATTTGACAGACAGAGCTCACAAGTAGGCAGAGAGGCAGGCATAGAGAGAGGAGGAAGCATGCTCCCCATGGAGCAGAGAGCCCAATGAGGGGCTCTATCCCAGGACAAGCTGAGCCGAAGGCAGAGGCTTTACCCACTGAGCCACCCAGGCACCCCAAGAAAAGTTTTTTTTAAAGGACCTTGCTATACCTAACATGTTACCTACCATTGACGAGCTCTGATTCTAATAACAAGAACCTTCCTTGGAGGACTCTCTTTTTTTTCTTGCCTCCAATTTCTAAAAGTTACTAAGAATTTCATATATTTCAAAAATTATTTCCAGAGGTCATCATTTCTTCAGAGTACTTTGTCTTATAATTTTCAGAACAAAAATCCTTTTTCCCTCTATCTTCAGTTGTGCTTTTCAGCTCTGAAACTCAAGCCCTGTTGAACTTCAAGCTGCCGCTAACACTTTAAACAGAAGAGAAGGACAGGGAAGTCAGTGAGAAGGGAGAGTTCAAAGTAGCCCTTTTAGCGAGGACAGCACTGCTAGGAGGAGGAATGATTTACATTAAGGCAAAGATTTCTAGAAAGGCGGTTTTCAAATATACGATCGGCCATGAGTCTATTTAACTTGGACATGGGCGGTATTCCGATCAGTACAAGGAGGGGCAATGAGCTCCCAAGTTTAAAGAACCGGAATTCCTTTGCACGTTGGAATAGCCCAATCCTGGGGTTAGGAAAAAAAGAATCACTTCATGGTGACATCAGTCATCTTCAGGCACGATGAAAATATACACACGCAGAAAGACCGATGGTTGCTCTCCGGCTATTCCAGCTTCCAGATCAGTATTTCTTCACACGGATTTGTGGTATGCTGGCAGCTAATTCTTTGCTGGAGAAAATGGGAGGCAAGGATTCTCAGCCCTCAAAAAAAAGGGGGGGATCGCAATTATAGTAACTCATGAAAGTAGGATTCTTTGGTATTTAACAAAGTGACGGGTCTGAATGACCAGACATTCAGAGTGATTCTCCACCGTGAAGCCCCTGATGCCTAATGAGGGCTGAACTACACCTGAAAGCTCTGCCACATTCATTCCACCCACAGGGTTTCTCTCCGGTGCGAATCCTCTGGTGCTGAGTAAGATGGGCACTCCTGCTGAAGGCTTTCCCACACTCGTGACAATCAAACGGTTTTTCTCCAGTGTGAATCTTCCGATGTTGCGTCAGGGATGAACTCTGGCTGAAGGCTTTCCCACAGCCCTTACAGGCGTACGGTTTCTCTCCGGTGTGGGTTTTTGTGTGTTTTAGGAGCGTTGAGCTCTGGCTGAAAGCTTTGCCGCATTCTCTGCACTTGTAGGGTTTTTCTCCAGTGTGAGTTCTCTGGTGTCGAATAAGGGCGGATCGATCACTGAAGGCTTTCCCGCAGTCCTCACAGGCGTACGGTTTCTCTCCAGTGTGAGTTCTCTGATGTTGATAGAGGTGTGAGCTCCGACTAAAGACCTTGCCACACTCGCTGCATTCATAGGGTTTCTCTCCAGTGTGAATAAACTGATGTTCAATACGGGATGAGTTGTGACTGAAGGCTTTACCGCATTCGTTACATTCATAAGGTTTCTCTCCGTGTTCAGATCTCTGATGCGGAATAAATAGTGCATTCTGAATTAAGGCTCTTTCATGTACCTGCCCACCATGAACGCTCTGATGATGTTTGGCAAGGTGTGAGTTCCAGGTGTAGACTTTCCTATCATCATAAGTCTTCTCTCCGGTATTAGTTTTCTGATGTTCCGTGCGGTGTATACCATGACCAAAGGTCTTCCCATTCTGATTACGTTCCATATTTTTTTCTCTCTTATGAACTATACAGTGTTGAACATAAACTGAATGATCACTGAGTATTTTACTACATACATTACCCTGAAGAGCTTTCTCATTTATGCTCTTTTTCTGATGTCTTATTAATTTTGAATTCTGTTTAAAGCTCTTTCCCTGAGCATCAGATGTATAAGGTCTCTCTTCTTCGGGGTGTCTTGATTGTATAACAAAGTCTGACTTCAGACTAACATGTCTGCCAGATTCGATACATTTGGGGTTACTCTTGGCCATAGAAGTTCTTTTCGTGAAGAGAACTGTTGCTTCTTTCCCAAGTCTATCTTGAGCATCCTCTTTGATCTCTGCCTATCCCCAGGCTTCCTTCAAACTGGAAGGAACATCAGCCCCTGTGCTTTTCTCCATATTTATGCCCTGGTATGATTCTTTTCCAGAAAATACCTCCTTTGGGTTTGACTTTCTGGTCTCCAAATCTGGAGGGGAAAAGTAAAAATGTTCCCTGTACTACAAAAAGGAAATGACTCAAGTAGGAATGAGATAATAAAATTGCACACATACCATTAGTCACAAGTATAAGTCAAGTAGTCAACAGATAATTTATTGAACACCTATTATGGGCTAGGCACTGTGTTATGTGCCAGGATTCAATGATAAACAAAGCAGATGTAGTGCCTTTCTGAGATTTACAGTCTTTGGGGGAAAACAAGTATTAAATATTTTCAAGAATGATGAATGCTGTAAAATATGAGTGAGAGCGATTTCAAATGGAAACGATCGGTACCATACACTGGAATGATAGCTGCCCCTAGCTATTTTTTTTTTTTAAAAGATTTATTTATTTATTTATTTGATAGATCACAAGCAGGCAGAGAGGCAGGCAGAGAGAGAGGAGGAAGCAGGCTCCGTGCTGAGCAGAGAGCCCGATGCGGGGCTCGATCCCAGGACTCCGAGATCATGACCTGAGCCGAAGGCAGCGGCTTAACCCACTGAGCCACCCAGGCGCCCCGCCCCTAGCTTTTGAACCACGAGAATGTTCCCTGGCTTCTGATGCCACCACCACCAGCAGTCCCATGATCCCTGTCTGGAGTTCACTCCTGCTAGGGTCATCCTTCAATGCCTCCCTCTTCCACTCCCACTGGCACAGCTCCCCAGTAACTCTCCTTGATTATGCCTGAGGGTGCTGTTGGGTCAGTAAAATCATTAGCCGTATTTTCCCTTGCTACCCTGAATGTTAGCATTTGCCGGAGACTTCCTTCAGCTTTCCCTTTTTCCCTCTCTCTCTGGGCCTCCCAAAATACACACGTACATGCCCCAAGAAAAGACAAAGAGGGTCAAAGTTCAGGAGGATGCAGAAATTTTAGAAGGATCGGGGCTTGGGCTTACTACTAGTACTAGTTTAGCTTTCTTATGGATAAACTATACATGACATTTTAATTGTTGTAAAGCTGGGACTTTGTAATTAGGGATCTTGTAAGTAGCTTTTCAGCCTGATGAAGGGTAAGACAAACAGCACATGTGTTTTGCAAGCTGGACTATCTTCAACGTAAACTCAGTATGTGGCTTTGAAAACCTTATATAATGTAGGAAAATAAAAGTTAAAAGAAGGCAACGTAAGTTAAGAAGCAGGGAGAGATGGTAGCAGGGGACTAATCCACTACCACGTTAGCCAAAAAGAAGGAACTACCTGTTAAGTCCAATGGACATTCTTCAGGTCCTTATTTGACCTCTCTAGTGTCTATCACTATGTACACCTCCCCTCCTTAAAATGCTCTTTTCTGCGGGCTTCTCTGAAAAGAACCTGACCTGGTTTCCTTCTACTCTGGCCACCCTTTCCTAGTATCCTTTCTGGATTCTCTTTTCTTCATTTATTTTGATAAAATCTGTATAACATATCTCTCTTGCCATCACCCATTATTAAGAATTATTGCTATTTTGGGGCACCTGGGTGGCTCAGTGGGTTAAAGCCTCTGCCTTCGGCTCAGGTCACGATCCCAGGGTCCTGGGATCGAGCCCCGTGTCGGCTCTCTGCTCAGCAGGGAGCCTGCTTCCTTATATCTCTCTCTGCCTGCCTCTCTGCCTACTCGTGATCTCTGTCTGTCAAATAAATAAATAAAATCTTTAAAAAAAAAGAATTATTGCTATTTTATTATTTTGACACCATTTTGCCCCAAGTGGTTTTTTTTTTAAGATTTTATTTATTTATTTGACAGAGAGAGAGATTACAAGTAGGCAGAGAGGCAGTCAGAGAGAGAGAGGAGGAAGCAGGCTCCCCACTGAGCAGAGAGCCCGACGCGGGGCTCAATCCCAGGGCCCTGAGATCATGACCTGAGCCAAAGGCAGAGGCTTTAACCCACTGAGCCACCCAGGTGCCCCACCCACGTGTTTTTTTTTAAGTACACAAGTGATATAGATATATTCAGATATAGACAGACAGCCAGCAGATACTTAAATCTGTACATTCATTGGGTTTCTAAGTTGTCTTGCAACTCTTTTCATGCACTATTTCTCTCTTTTCATATTTTATCCACTCCAGTGTCTTTAATTACCACTTATTTGCTGTACCACCAGGTATCTCTTTCCCTCGCCAAGATCCATTTGACATCTCCTCCATATATTTCTCTACCTTCTAGACACCCCTACTTAATTTTCTCAACTGCAGCAGTACTGACATTTTGTCAGACAAGTCTTTGTGGGAGGGGCTGTCCTGTTCATGGCAGGATACTTGGTACCATCTTTGGCCTTGACCCACCAGATGCCGATAGCATCCTCCCAGTCTTCAGACATGTCCCCTGGGGGTAAAACCGACCCTGTCTGAGAACCACTGGTTTAGATCTGCTACAGACTCTTCAAACAGAAGAAACAGAACTCCCCTTCCATCCCACCACCCCCTAAATTCACCATTTCTCCTATGTTTTCCATCTCAGGGAAATGAACTTCCATCTACCTACACAGCCAAGCCAGAAACCTGTAAATCACCTTTGTCTATTTCTCCTCCACCTCCTACATATGGTCAGCAAATTCTATCAATTTTACAACCTTAAAATTGGATGTGAGATCACATTCCTTAAATTTACATTCAAATTCTTTCATTCTCTTCTCACTTTTTAGGTAGGCAAAACCTAGGTACAACGAAGACAAAGTAAATGAAGGAGAGACTCCAACCTCTAGAGAGGAAAAGGGAATGACCTCATAAAATGCCAGAGTGAGGCACCACCATGATCACTGGATCAAGTGTCAGGGTTATAACTTAAGAAGGAAGTACCCTTCCTTGAATCTGGGAAGAAGCAGAGTTGGGCTAACGAGACTCTGATATGTCCAAATGAAAATGAGACTGTAGAAAATATTGAGACTCAATATTAATATTGATATTGGTATTAATCAATAGTAAATAACCAGTATTAATTAATAATTAATATTAATTAGTATTAAGTAAGTGAGTCTCAATATTTTCTACAGACTTGGAGGATTTGGGGAAGAACCCCTAACTCATATTTCAAAAGATCAGTTGTCTGCCTTACTCTCACTTACATATGCAGCTGCTTCTGGGTACTTCTCTCTCCTGCATCCATCGGTTTTCTGCTTGTTCCAATTGGGAGATGATATCAGGCTTAGAAAATGGAAATCCTACTCAAGGAAAAGAAACAGCATGTGACTGTCAGCTTCTGAGACAAAGGATCACCCCATTTTCAGTCCCGCTCTTGTGTTTTCAAAAGCAGAAAACAAGATAACTAATTATCAAAAGCAATTATATATTTTCTACCAAAGTAGGGGGAGAAACAGTTTAAGGATCTGCTCTGGGTCCTGGAGGAAAATGTTAACCAAAGCCTCCTTCCTTCCTTGCTTTCTTCCTTTCTTTTGGCAGGTGGGGGGAGGAGCAGAGGAAGAGGGACAAGCTCAGTCCCTGCTGAGCACAGGGTCCCATACGGGGCTGGATCCCACGACTCTGAGATCATGACCTGAGCCGAAATCAAGAATCGGATGCTTAACTGACTGAGCCATCCAGACTCCCCACAAAGCCTCCTTTCTGATCATCCCCTAACAGGAGCACAGGAATCTTTAGAAAGCAATGGCATCCCAACATGCCTACCTGCGGTGAGCACCCAACCTTACCCAAGGAGACCAGGTTCCTGTAGTTCTCAAGCATTACATCCCTGTACAAGTCTCTCTGAGCGGGGTCCAGTTCTCTCCATTCTTCCTCGGTGAAGTTCACAGCCACGTCCTTGAAAGACAAGCCCTGAAGCACCTGCACGGGTTCGGAATTAACGGCTGAATAAGGCAGAATTAGGGGAGATCCATGGAATGGAGAGGAAATGGATCCAACAATGTTCATAGTGTCAAAGGCACACAGACTCGTAGGTTAAAGAGCCTTAAATGTTATACCCTTTGACATACTGATCTTATATCTAGAAATCAACTGTAATAAAATGATCGGAGATATGAGTAAAGAGTTATCACCAGATTCCTCATCCATTTATAATTTGCAATAGCAAAATAGTTCTAAATAACCTAAATATTTGCGGAGAGTGGCAGAAGCAGCTAACGGCTCACTAAAGGACACGTCCCCTCCTCCTCTTTCTAGGTGGACAAACATTTCCCGGTCTCCTCTGCAGTTAGATGTGGCCATGTGGCGGAGTTTAAGCCAAGAGAATGCAAGCAGAAGTGAGATGCACCAGTTTCCAGGCCAGACGTGCATACGTTCCTCCATGCTGGTTTCCCCTTGTGCCCGGGTCATGGAGATGACCCCAAAAGTGAGTTTGAGACCCATGTGGTACAGATATTAGAGCTTCAGATAGCTCAAGGCCCTGAATGGCCACCCTATCAACCTGTGACCCAGTCATACGGTTACAAGAACAAGAAATAAACTTCTATTACACTAGGGCTACTACACATTTTGGGTCTATCGGTTTTACCAGTTACAAGTTAGCCAATCCCAATTAATTCAGAAACTCACACCTTCAAGTGGAAGGTATCAAAAGAAACACCTAAAATATACAGGGGCAAAGGCTTGACAGTCAGTCGGCAAGCTTCAAAGAAACAGGTAGTTAAGGCTGGAAAGATGTAGACTCTTTTTTTTTTTTTTTTAAGATTTTGTTTATTTATTTGACAGAGAGAGAGAGATCACAAGTAGGCAGAGCAGCAGGCAGATGGAGAAGGGGAAGCAGGCTCCCTGCTGAGCAGAGAGCCTGATGTGGGACTCTATCCCAGGACCCTGAGATCATGACCTCAGCCGAAGGCAGAGGCTTAACCCACTGAGCAACCCAGGCACCCCTGATGTAGACTCTTAATCTACAACCCGCAAAGTAATTAGTACCTGGGAAGGCAGACCAAAAGTTCACTGGCCCTATAGCTCTGGGGGAATAAGTTGGACAAGAGCCAGAATGCTAGCTTGTGCAGGACGCTTCTGGATATATTTGGCAAAGAAAAAAAGAGTTGAGCCCAGGAAAGAATTTACCAATTTTCAAGCTAAAACAAATAGAATACAGAGTCCAGAAATTTGGGGCTTTGCTGGCTGGAAAAGCAAACTTGTTTCTAGATCTCGTACAATAGGAAGTCTAAAAAAGGCTTTGTACAATAAAGGTCCATTGAAACTTCCCAGCTAAACAAAGTAACTTAGCCCTATAAAAAAGGTCAAGTTAAGGATACGGCGTTACCATCCAAGCCTATTGCTCAGCAAGCCTTAAAGTTATCTTCATTAAGAAAGAGACATAGTGGGGTGCCTGGGTGGCTCAGTGGGTTAAAGCCTCTACTTTTGGCTCAGGTCATGATCCCAGGGTCCTGGGATCAAGCCCCGCATCGGGCTCTCTGCTCAGCAGAGAGCCTGCTTCCTCCTCTCTCTCTGCCTGCCTCTCTGCCTACTTGTGATCTCTGTCAAATAAATAAATAAAATCTTTTAAAAAAAAAAAAGAAAGAAAGAAAGAGACATAGTATGTAACAAACTGAGAAATATACCAAGCTTGAGACTTATAGCCAGGAAAGAATTTTGTGTGATTATTAGTATACGGCGAAGGGATCAGAAGCTTAAGTTTTTATAGGACAATATATCCATGATTTCTTTTTTTTTTTTTTTTTTTTAAGATTTTATTTATCATTTATTTGCCAGAGAGAGAGAGAAAGAGAGAAAGCACAATCAGGGGAGAGCAGGAAGCGGAGGGAGAAGCAGGTTCCCCTCTGGGCATGGAACCCAACTTGGGGCTCGATCCCAGGACCCTGGGATCATGACCTGAGCTGAAGGCAGGCACTCAACAGACAGAGCCACCCAGGTGTCCCATATCCATGATTTCAATGTTCTTTGTACTTCCTTTTTTCCTGTCTCAGAAGAAGTAGTACCTTTCCTCAATATTAAGCCACTTATGTCATTGACTTCCCAAATATTTCTTCTCAAAAATCTACTCATCCAGGGCGCTTAGGTGGCTCAGTCATTAAGTGTCTGACTCTTGACTTCGTCCTGATCTTAGGGTCATGAGATCGAGTTCAGGATCTGCACACAAGCAGAGTCTGCTCAAGATTTTCTCTCCCTCTCCCTCTGCCCATCACCCTGCTCTCTCTCTAAAATAAGTAAATAAGGGGCGCCTGGGTGGCTCAGTGGGTAAGGGTCCTGGGATCGAGCCCCGCATCGGGCTCTCTGCTCAGCTGGGAGCCTGCTTCCACCTCTCTCTCTCTGCCTGCCTCTCTGCCTACCTGTGATCTGTCTGTCAAATAAATAAAATCCTTAAAAAATAAAAAATAAAATAAAATAAAATAAGTAAATAAATACAATCTTAAAAACAAAACAACTTATTCACCCTTCAGGGCCCGCTGTAAATCTCACTGCTTCTATTAGCCCGGGGCTCCTTAAAAAGGCTCAAAGAGGCCGGCTGAATGAATAAAGCCCTCCCTAAACTCTCTCAGCCAAACATGCTTGCTCGATCTCTTCTGAAACCATCCAATGTTCTCCCTGAAGCAGAGGGTCAGTAAACTGGCTGATTGGTGCCACACGGATTTGTGGATGGGTCTTTTCTCCTCACGGCACATGGATACAAAAGGTACCTCACATGCGTTTGCTGATCTAAGCCAAATGCCTCAAGTGGACAAAGGGGAACCTGGCTCTCTCCCCACCCTGCTCTCGGTCCTCTGTCCTCTGTGGCCAACCGATGGGAGAGACTGCCAAGCCCCACCTTCAGTGCTACTTTCACAGTAAGAAACACCCAGTTGCCATGTTGCTGGCGGTCCATCCCACTTTCTTTTTTTTTTAATTTATTTTTTATTTTTTTAAAAGATTTTATTTATTTATTTGACAGACAGAGATCACAAGTAGGCAGAGAGGCAGGCAGAGAGAGAGAAGGAAGCAGACTCCCCGCTGAGCAAAGAACCCGACGTGGGGCTTGATCCCAGGACCCTGGGATCATGGCCCGAGCCAAAGGCAGAGGCTTAACCCACTGAGCCACCCAGGCGCCCCACCATCCCACCTTCTTAATCCCATCTTTGAAAACTGCCCAGGCTAATAGGACTGATGAGCTTCATGGGATGAGAGGGAAAATTTATTTACTTCAGGAATTGAGATGAGGTTTTAGGGATGAGAGGAAAATCCCCAACTCACCTGGGACTTTGCTGCCTGGAGAAGAGCAGCCATATTCTCCTCCTCAAGATACCCCTTTTGGAAAAGGGCAGACTCCCTTGATGCCAGAACTGGAAAGGAAGAATAATAAAGGAACCCAGTTTATTTATTTATTTATTTTATTATTATTTTTAAAGATTTTATTTATTTGACAGAGAGAGATCACAAGTAGGCAGAGAGGGAGAGAGAGAGAGAGAGGGAGGAGGAAGCAGGCTCCCTGCCTAGCAGGGAGCCCGATTCGGGACTCGATCCCAGGACCCTGAGATCATGACCTGAGCTGAAGGCAGAGGCTTAAGCTACTGAGCCACCCAGGCAGCCCCAGGAACCCAGTTTGTTATTGTGTGTCTCTGACCCATTATATTAAAAAGAGCCACTTATGACAAAAAGTGCCTCTGACTTTGGCTGTCATGTGGTTGGAAGGATCCCACAGACACCTGTGTAATGAGGCTTCCAAGATAACCTCAGAGAGTTGACTGTATGTAAACTAAGTCAGGGAAAGGTATGATCATTAACTGGGTTCGGGATAAGCCTGAGCCTGTGCTCTGAGAAAATGGGGATCCCTGTGGTAACACCAAAAACCCATATACTAATAGGGCTGGCACGAAGGTTCCAGACCTCCTGCCTCGACTCCTCTATTTACAAATAGAGAAACTTTCCAACTTCATAGAACAAGGAAAAGGAGCCATGGAGGCAAAGGGCAAAAGGACCTATCCTGGCAGTTTAGGGCACAGGAAGCACCAGCCAACAGATCGTGACTATTCCAGGCCCCCGCTAAGACTGCAGCCATGCTAGGTTCGTGACACCACACGTGGGATCCGCTGAATCGTAGTCTGTCATCTCGTATTCCCCTGCATCCCAAGCACCCAACATACTATGCCTGGTGGCAGGAGCCCCAAAGTGTTGAGAATGACCTCATAATCCCCCTAACTCCTTTGACTCCATGCCCATCGAGCAACCCGCTGCTCACGATCTCCTTTCCCATTCTGATTATTTGCCTACTGGGAGAAAACCAATAATATCAACATTGAGCACTTCTTTGAGCTTATCTTTGGGTGGTGGGGTTATATGTCATTTATTTTATCCTCCATATAATTCTGTCTTCCTAATATTCCACAGTTTATTATTTCTTGAACCCTCACTCTCCCCCACCACCAAAAAGCAATACTTTAAGCCCCCTATGGGGGCCCCTGAGTGGCTCAGTCAGTTAAGTGTCAGACTCTTGATGTAGGCTCAGGTCATGGTCTTGGGGATCGTGGGACTGAGCCCCATATAGGGGTCCCTGCTCAGCGGGGAGTGTGCTGGAGATTCTCTCTCTACCTTTCCCTCTCTCCCTGACCCTCCCCGTGAGCTCATGCACTCTCTCTCTCTCTAATAAATCAATCTTTTTATTTAAAAAACGTCTCTTGTGGATTTGTTTGGGGAAGAAGGAGGAATTTCAAGCCCTTATCATTATAAACAGCACAGAGTTTCATGATTTAAAAAACAAATCTATGCCCCCTACCATGCTTTCTCACTAAAACAATGGCTCTGGAGGCTGCCTGCCTGCTTTTAAATCCTGGCTCTGCATGGCTGTAGGCAAGTTTCTTCTGTGCTTCAGCTTCCCCAAGGGAGAAATGGGAATAACAATGGTACCTACTTCAAAGCATTGCCCATTAATGTATATAAAGGGCCTAAATCGGTACCTGATACAGAATAAGCATTCAGTAAAGGTCATTTATCAGTTAATTCTTATTCTTACTATTTTCTGCATATCACCAGTAGCCAAAATGTTATAGGTTCCTCTATCCTTTATTTTATGAAAGCAAAAGGCATCATCAGTGTATATAGCCATACCCCAAACCCCTACTTCCCCAGAGGATGCCTGTCCATTCCCTGTACTGAACTCTGACAATCAGTGAAGGATGGGATAGAGACGGGAACTTGTAAGGTTCAGGACCTTGGGAAATCAGAGGGGCTGAGGTCAGGATGTCTGGGAAAACCAAACAGACTGAAGCTAGACCATGGAAGCCCCTTCTCATCCGGGCCATCCTTTTGTAACTCCTTTTTTTTTTTTTTTAAGATTTTATTTGACAGAGAGAGAGACAAGTATGCAGAGCAGCTGGCAGAGAAAAGGGTAGGGGGGAGCAGGCTCCCTGCTGAACTGAGAGCCTGATGTGGGGCTTGATCCCAGGACCCTGAGATCACGACTCGAGCCGAAGGCAGAGGCTTAACCCACTGAGCCACCCAGGTGCCCCCCTTTTGTATCTCCTTAAGAGGGAATACTTCTTAAAAGATATTGAAAGAGGGGCACCTGGGTGGCTCAGTGGGTTAAAGCCTCTGTCTTCGGCTCAGGTCATGATCCCAGGGTCCTGGGATCGAGCCCCACATGGGGCTCTTTGCTCTGCAGGGGGCCTGCTTCCTCCTCTCTCTCTCTGCTTGCCTCTCTGCCTACTTATGATCTCTGTCTGTCAAATAAATAAATAAAATCTTAAAAAAATATATATTGAAAGAAGTCAGGAGCAATTCTCAATCCTGCCAGAATTGGGCAGTGGACCCTGCAGATGCAGGCCCTAGCTCTGCACTTGACCTCTCCCATGTACTAGAATGCCAGTTCAAATCATCTGCTTCTCCATGCCCATTTCCCTTTCTCTGTCCAAGGAGTCTGACTTGCCCCCTCTCATCCTTTGGAGAGGCATTAGGTAAAATAGAGTATGGAGAGTGAGATGTCTTACTTTTTAGAGTTTCAAGTGAAACGGGAATAATAGTGAAATTACTACTACTTATGGAGCACTCACCATGTACCAGATGCTCTCCATAAAATCACTTGTCACAAACGAAGAAACTGGTGACTTGCCCAAGGGCTCAGAGTTGCCCATGCACATTTTACAAGGCTGCTGCAAAGAAAAACTAAAATGAGATTATTGTGTGCACACTGCAGGTGTCCAGCTAACCTAGCCACAGAAGCCTCTCACTTGTGTTTCTTACCTCTGTTCCGGAGTTCGTGGTTCTGATCCACCATAACCATAGCCTTTGCACCATTTGGGTAAAGCAACTTCACCCAAACCCTCCATGTCTCTTCCTGGGGATTACCAGCATTCTCCCAGAGACTGTAGTGAGAGATTCTGGACTGAATTCTTCTTTTTCATTGTATTTCTCCCTTCATTCTCTAAGACCCCATTCATAACAGTGATTGGGGAGTCCGACACAGTATATTTTGAGCTAAGACTAAAGAAGTTCAGCAATCATTCAGGCTTCAGGAAGCCCTATTCACAGGGAAGTCTCAGGAAATGTTCTCAGGGAACCTTTCCCCAAGGGCCTGCAGAGACAGACACAAAGGAATATAGATAATCACAAACAGCACAGGTAAAGACATTGTTACGAACATGCCTAAAGTATACACCAGTGCAGGCCGTAGTGGCAAGCGCCCTGCTGGGCGTGAAGGCGCCCGGGTTCTCATTTCTATGTACCAGATGGCTAGGTGACCCCAAACAAGTACGTTTTTCTTCCTGGGTTTCAGTTGCTTTTTATGTACAAATGGGGAGGTGGATACCTACTTTTCATAATGACTACTCCTGATTGAGCCCTTAATTAGTGCTGGCACTGTGTCAACTGTTTAACTGTTTCATACCAAATTTCCACTGCATCCTCAAAATCACCACGTAAGGCATGGACAATAAACTTGACAGATAAGGAACAGCCGAGGCAAAGCTCAGTAACTTGCCTACGGACCCATCCTTGAGCAAGAGCCGCTTTCTCGAGATGCAAAGATCTCTTACGTCCACGCCCTCCCTCGTCAACATAATCTCAGTCTGCACAATGGATCCACCACGCCGCGGGCTGCAAGGGCCCAAGGGCAGACGCGCGTCGGTCTCTGACCTGGACGCCTTGACGACCTCGGGCCCTACTTGCCTCACCTAGCCAAGCGCTTCAGGCTGTGCGGGCCCCCAGCCCGCTTCCGAGTAAAGGGCCTGGACAGGTCTCAGACTTAAACACACGTACACACCACCATCACGTACCCACAAAACTCAGAGCGGAGGGGCAGGGTCAAGGTGGCGGAGACAGGACAGCTCCCCGCTCCAGAAGGGATTACGGGCAGGTCAGCGGGTCCAGGGAGATCCCCAGTGGGACGCGCGGCCAGACCCCCAAGCCTGACAGCCCCCTGCTGGACACACACCCCTGTCCAACGTCTGCTCCTTCCTCGTCGGGACAGCAAGCTGCTCATTATAGAGCGGAGAACAAGAATATACTAGCCGCGAGCGGAGCGGGTCCCGACAAAGGAGCCGGAAGCGGAAGCGCGCGCCGAGGCTCCTGGGAAATGTAGTCCGGCCCTACCCGGCGCCTGCGTTCGGACAAGCCCCCGCCGGACTGAGTTAAAGCCTGGCCCTGACCTCCCAGACTCCAGCTTGTTCTGCCTCACAGGCAACCTCTTGAGTGGCCCTAGAAAGAGAGGTTAATGTTGCAGCCCTGCGAAAGTGGACAGGAAACTTTGGGGGCGTTTACTAAACCATCAAGGACTGTCTAGAGTGTTTGGGGAGGGGAGGGGTGGGGTCTGGAGAGCAGAGCTCTCCTCGGGTGAGCTAGTCCCTCTGGTCACTCTTCTTAGAATAAGCGGAGCTGCAGCCCTGCTTCAGAAAGCCCAACGCGACAGCTCGAGGTTCTGCATCTCCAGGAATCCCGGCGGATGCCCTGTGCTCTCACATTCTGGGGCAGATCTCAGTGGTTCCCACGATCCTGCACCCTTAGCGCAGAGCCCGGGGCCTTCTGATGGCCTTTTGGGTTCTTGTCACCGAAGTGTAGTATTCTGAGACGCTGAGAGGTGACTCTCCCCGGGCGATAAACACATCTACTGCATTACTGTTCTCAGCACGTTGGTGTTCACTTGTCTCAGTCCAAAAGAGTGCCGCGTTGTTCCCATTATTTCCTTTTTGCTAGCCATTTCCACATGCATGACAGTCCTCCAGATCCCTTAGAGATTGATGTTATATGTATCCAGGTTCAGTTAATTTAGCCTTTTGGGGGGATATTCTACAGCCAACTCTCCGCGGTGGGCCCATCCGACTGTACTGCTACTCGGTTCTACTGCGACAAGACGAAAGACAGTTGAGCTGTTGGTGTCTTCTTTATCACTTCCAGAAGCAGGAAGTGTGGAGAGGGTGCGTACCCTCAGCTTCTAGGACAAACCCCCAGGCTCACCACCACCTCCACTCCCCACCCCACCCCTGAGGAGGACAACCTCTACATAAGCCCAGCCTATCCGTGCTTCATATCTGTGCCCCAGATCCTGTCTTTCTAAGCACTTTTCTACCCAGAGCGCAGGGAGCATCACAAAAATGCTGCCCTTAAAAAAGAAAAACCCAGGGGCGCCTGGGTGGCTCAGTGGGTTAAGCCTCTGCCTTCAGCTCAGGTCATAATCTCAGGGTCCTGGGACCGAGCCCCCCTTTCAGGCTCTCTGCCCAGAGGGGAACCTGCTTCCCCATCTCTCTCTCTGACTGCCTCTCTGCCTACTTATGATCTCTGTCAAATAAATAAATTAAAACAAAAATATAAAGAAAGCAAAACCTGGACCATGAGATCCTTATGCCAGGGTTTCAAAAGGAATGCTGAGGCCTATACAGTTTTGGATTTGGTAGGAAAATCCCATGGAATGCTCTACCAGCTAGACTCACCCCCCCTTGTGTCCACACTACACACCCCCCAAATCCCATAGCCCCCAGTAGTCTAATGCTTTATTTTAATTGTGTAAGGTGATAGATGCAACAGGAATGGCAAATTGGTGATAGTTATTGACAATGGGTGATAGATAAATGAGCATTCATTATGTTATTACCTCAAAGTAGTATGTTTGAAATTGTCATAAAGTAAATTTGATAATACAAATTCACTTTAAAAATAAAGCAGATTAGATCATCTGTTTCCTATGCTAAGAATTTTTGGTTGGCTTCTCTACTATTAAGGGTCCTTGTAATCAGTTTAGTGCCACACAAAATATAAAGCATTTTTATTTTTTAAAATTTTTTATTAATTCATTAGAGACACAGAGAGAGAAAGTGCACAAGCAGGGGGAGAGGCAAAGGAAGAGGGAGAAGCAGTCTCCCTGGGAGCCAGACGTGGGGCTTCATCCCAGGACCCTGAGATCGTGACCTGAGCCTAAGACAGATGCTTAACCAACTAAGCCACCCAGGCCCTCCACAATCAACATTTTTAGAGAGTGAAACAGAACAGAAAAGAAGTAAAAACATTAGAGTTTACTACAGGTAGTAATAATGTGTCCGGTTTCAATGCACTTTTCTTTCTGTTCTGTGTTTGTGCATACTTGGTTACAATGTTGTGTGTGTGTGTGTGTGTGTGCACGCGCGTGTGTTCTGTGGTGTCAAATCATCTTACCCCACAGAAATCTGTGATCTGACTCAGTCTCCAACCTTATATCTCTCTCCATTATCCCTTACCACTACTTTACACTCCACCCCCATCCTCACTCTACTCTAGTCTCATCAACATGCCAAACTCTATCCCCAGATATCCCCATGGCCCTCACTCGCTCATCTTTTCCAAACCCTGTTTGAATATCATCTTTAACACCAGTGTCTTCTCTCAACACTGTATACAAAATAGGGGGGCCCAATAATGCCATTCACTATCTCCCTTACACACCGTCATTATTTTAATGATGCTTATCTCTACTTGACATATATTTATGTTATCTGTTTACTCCCTTCCTCTCTCCACTCCAGATGTAAGCTCCTCTTGTTTTGACCAATGTCGTATCTGAAATAAACACATAATAAGTATTCGTATTGTCCTGGGCATTCTTTATTAGGTTAACTCCTAGGTACTTTTATTGAGCTTGTGACTGATATTTTACAACGTTTACCCTTCCGCCATGTGAGGACACAGCAAAAGTCCGCAGTCTGCAACCTGGAGAGGCTTGTCATCAGAACTTGACCACATTGGCACCCTGATCACGGACGTCCAGCCTCCGGAACTATGAGAAATTAATTTCTATTGTCCATAAGTGACCCATTGTATTCTGTTACAGCAGTCCCAACAGGCTAAGACATATTTGTATTTACTCTTAGAATTCAAAAATTAGGTATTCTATCAAACATTTATTTATTTTTTTTTTAAGATTTTATTTATTTATTTGACAGACAGAGATCACAAGGAGGCAGAGAGGCAGGCAGAGAGAGAAGGGGGGGAAGCAGGCTCCCCACTGAGCAGAGAGCCTGAAAGGGGAGCTCGATCCCAGGACTCCAGGATCACGACCCGAGCCTAAGGCAGAGGCTTTAACCCACTGAGCCACCCAGGCGCCCCATCAACCATTTAAAAATGGTATTTGTACTTCTAAACTTCAAATGTAGTCATGGTACTAGTATTATTAAATAAATACAATATATTTTAATATAGCAACACAAAAAAAGATTATATAGATAATAGAGCCCTTGGTAGCAGCCTTTAGTATTCTGCCAAAGGGAAGTATTGTATTTCATTGTCGATTATTTTTGTGTTCTACAGATTACCTGTGCATACCCAACCCAGGAGAAAAAAATCAGTATTGCAACGAGTATAACATGGAATTGTTTTAATTTTCCTTGGTAATTTACAGCAGAAAAGTGTTCTTTTGGGAATGGCATATAGAATCTTGAGTAAGAAAATCTTCATTGGGCACCTGGTTGGCTCAGTGGTTAACATCTGCCTACGGCTCAGGTCATGATTCCAGGATCTTGAGGTCCAGTCCCACATTGAGCTCCCTGCTTGGTGCGGAGTCTGTTTTTCCCTCTCCCCCTTCCCCCTGCTTGTGCTCGCTCTCACAAAATAGTTAATATCTTTTTTTTTTAAAGATTTTATTTATTTACTTGACATACAGAGATCACAAGTAGGCAGAGAGAGAGGGGGAAGCAGGCTCCCCGCTGAGCAGAGATCCCGATGCGGGGCTTGATCCAGGACCCTGGGATCATGACCTGAGCCGAAGGCAGAGGCTTTAACCCATTGAGCCACCCACGCGCCCCTCTTTTTTTTTTTAAAAAAAGATTTATTTGACACAGAGAGAGAGACAGCAAGAAAGACCACACAAGCAGGGGGAGTTTCCTGCCGAACAGAGACCCAAACGTGGAGCTCAAACCCAGGACCCTGGGATCATGACCCAACCTGAAGGCAGACACTCAACGGCTGAGCCACCCAGGCGCCCCCAAATCTTTTTTTTTAAGACCATCTTTATCATCTTGAGCTCTATTTTACAAAGAGAATCTACCTAGAAGAAATACAGCAAAGCATAGTAGCTTATAGTTTACTTATTTCCTGGATAAGAAACGAAGAAATTAATGCTGAGTGGCTGATTTCCATGTGCTCAGTGCACCTGCTGGTTGCTTTATATCCATTACCTTATTTACTTGAAGAAGAATGTTCCTATTTTATTTTTATTTTTTAAAGTTTCATTTATTTAAGTAATCTCTACACCCAACATGGGGCTCGAACCCATGACCCTGAGATCAAGAGTCTTGTGCTTTTCTGACCAAGCCAGGCAGGTGACCCAGCATGTTCCTATGTTAAAGATAGTAATTATTGGGCTGCCTGGATGGGTCAGTCGTTAAGCGTCTGCCTTTGGCTCAGGTCATGATCCCAGGACCTTGGGATCAAGCCCCGCAATTGGCTCCCTGCTCGGCGGGAAGCCTGCTTCTCCCTCTCCTGCTCCCCCTGCTTGTGTTCCCTATCTCACTGTGTCTCTCTCTGTCAAATAAATGAATAAAATCTTTAAAAATATCTAGTAATCATCATCTCCTTTAAACTCAAAAAAATATCTAGTAATCATCATCTCCTTTAAACACAAAGAAATGAAGGCTCAGGGAGCTTAGTCCAAAGTCACACCAGCAGAAAATGACATTCAAGTCAGAGCCAGGTATCATTTAATTCACAAATCCTGTGATATACTCACAATACTCAGCCTCATCAAGAAAAGATTATCATTTTCTGATGGAGATATAATTATATACCAAACTACTTTGTTTAGTTGGGCTACAGCTCATGTAGTATCCCCTTCAGCTGCCTCCCAGAGGTTACTTTTGGGAATGAGAGGCGCTTCTGGGAGTGGTTAAGAGCGAGGGTTGTAGAATCTGAAAGCATGCGTTTGAATGTGGGCTCTACCGTTAATTACTCTTTCTGTGTCTTGGTTTTCTCATCTGTAGGATGGAGACACTAGTC